TAATGACTCTCTCACTTCCATTACTGTTGCGCACCACATTGACATCAGATTCATCGGTTACATTTATGTAATTGTTTTGCACAACTTGTGTTCCTTCTGCCAATCCCACTCCCTCCTCCAAGAAAGTGTAATTGTTTTCTTTCTCGCCTACATAGTTATAATTTTGAACTGTAATTAATGATCTGAGTTTCTTTGAATGTTATATAACCAGAAAATACCTACTACGTGATAGGCTTACCTCCTTGATTGTGTTCATCGCCGGTTAGAGTTATTGGGGTAAGTTGGTTGTGTGTGCCTCGACTTTGGTTATCATACCCCGTGGACCCTGTTGAAGACTGCACCAAGTCCACATTCACCAGGTTCTTCACATTTACATCTATATTATTCGTACTGTCGGCTTCTTCGAAAGGCAGATTATGAGATAGTAGATCACCAATATTGGAAGTATGGGTAATCTCTTTATCCCAAAACTCTTGTTCGCATTCCACATCTACCCAGTCTGGATTGAAGTATCTTGATTCATCTCCTGTATCTGGCGTATTTGAATTTTACGATATCATATACGTCGTTTGTTAACACATATCATTTCATATGAAAATGTTATTACATTATTTAGTAAGATAACTTGTTGAGGTAAATATCAGGGTAATTGAAGTAGGTCCGCTGTGTAATTAATTATGTCCTTGGATAATTGTAGTAATGACAGTAACATTATTCCAGATATTAAATATTATACTATACTCATTATTAGATCTGTAATCTTGAATTTCAAGTGAAAACTCGTGAAATTGCAAGTACTCCATTTTATTCTTTTTGATACGCAGAGTACGCCAGGTCGATAATTTCATTGTATATTAGCGTCCACACATGATCACATGCACTTTTGCATGTGTAACTTATAACCAAATTTTATATTTATTTGTGGCTATTGAAAAGTTTAACCGGGCATACTACGTATCGCAGATATTAGAATATATTCGGTATTTCATGTAGAGTAGAAAAGATTTGAAATGATATACAACCTCCTTTTTCGATTTATGCGTCCATATATATGTTATGCGGGCCGGTATAGATTATTGAAACATTTAACTTTATAGTTAGACCTTATATGAAGAAATGCTTACTTTGATCACCCAGGTTATGCTCGCCATTTCCGTCACATAACGGAAATCCTCTAGCTTTTTCAACTTCTAAAGAAAAACGGTAAATGAGGACCAACTTCTCATCCTCGAATAAAATATTCAGTACATGCTCACTGCATCGGATCACGTCGTTTCCAACCTTAGCTGCGACGACCATTTAAAGGGTATAAGAATAAAGTTTTGAACACGTCGTAAATAGATATTATTATATTTTAATCTAATACATTTGAAAATCCTAAACTTTAATGGTGGCCAACTGATCCTCCTCAGAGACGCTTCCATCAAAATAAGATGTATCACATAATCTGAATGGAGCTCTACAGAGGAATTGGTATCTAGCCACGTTTAGAGCTCCGGCTGTAGTACAAATTTGGACTTCCTTTGTCCATTCTTGTACAGTCATCGCAACCTCCAGGTCATCAGTAGTTACTATATTTGCTGGTTGCGAATTTGATGGAATTCCTGGAAGCATTTGGTCTGGGAGTTCATATGTCAAAGAAATGGGGCAGTTAAATTCAATGCTGAGCTCTTCACGTATGAGACAGGTAAAGGAGACGATATTTTCATTTCTCCGGGCAATAATGTAGTGGTCCACGTCCGAAGGATCGGTATCGAAACACCAACCTCCTTCTGAATTTATTTTCCAGTTTCCTTTTCGGATTTTGATAAGCTGGGCCATATGTCTTAAAAAAAAAAACCGATCATAAGAAAGAGTTCAGTAAGTCGGAACGTTAATTAATTAGTTATATAAGTTGATTAAATATCTAATGACCGTCACATTGATTTAATATGTTAAATGATTAAGATTATGGAAATGATACTCAACTATTATGATCACCCTCTTTGCCACCTTTTTCACAGTAGGTTGAGATATTACAGTGTTAGCTCAGCTAAAAACCGGATAAAAGGTATGCTTTTGTGTTACCTGTATGAGTAACCAAGTATGATTATTTATAGTAAAGGTATGTGTAAAAATCATAGGGTGAATCGAACGTTCGGAAAACATGAAGCGTGTCAACGTCTCCTCCTTGTATCTACTCGCACAACTTGTGTGACTCATAAAAATTGGGTGATACTGTAGGAACTTTCACAATCTCAGGAATAGTATCATAACGCTTCAGAATCACATATTGTTGCTGTAAATATCTTTCATCTATTATTAGGATGCCCCAAAAACGATGTCGTGAATTTTCGAGGGCAGATGTTGTGAATCTTGTTGGCGAATTAGTTTGAAGTAAAACCTGGTTTACTCAAACCATTACTCCACACCGGTTAACTATGTAACCCTACGCTTCTTCCAAACCCTACCACTTGTCATAATTTTGGCTCTCAGTTCTGCGTATTCTTTCTTTAGTTCTCCAATCTCAAGCGGCCAGTATCTCCAAATCAAAATCTAGGTAATACTTTATTTTCATCGATTGAGCTCATAAACTTAATATTATTAAGGACGTGTTACGGGCGAGTTTGCAGAGTGTCGGGAAATGTAGTTTCGCAGGGATCTTGTTCACGGCGAAACATTTCAGGTTATGAGGGGGTTCCGACTCACTGCTGGTGTGGGAATCGCGTTTCAACATTTGTATCCAAGACAACAAAGAATCCCTTTAGGAGATTCTATCGTTGTGTAGTTGCTAGGCAGGTTCGAGTTAATACAATATACATGTGAAATTTATTCCCCAATTAAAATTTGGTAGATTTAATATTGTATGCCCTAATCCAGAGGGAAGGTGAATATCATCTCTTCAAGTGGGTTGATGATGCTTTGGTTGAAGAAGTTTACATGGTTGAATCAAGACAAACAATTGTAGAAGGAGAGGTCCAAGCTTTATTTGATCCAGAGATACATGATTCTGTCACCAAGCATAATGGATGTCTCGGGTTATTACCATGGATTTGTTCTAAATTTGGTTAACTTGTTAGTAAGTTCTGTATTATCGTTTGTCTATTTAAGCACAATCTCTAGAACATTCCCCTATATGTTTAAATTGATATTATCGTTCAATATTTTCAGCTTGTAAAATATGTAGGCGTAATATGTAATGGTATGTTTGATTAAGCAGTTGTATTTTGGTTGACATTCACATTACTGTATGCAATTAGTTTTTTCTCTCTGTTAGTAAGATGTGTTGAATATAGATAACAAGTCAGTAAACGTCATTAGTGGATTCCATAAATGTATCTTTTACATGCTTTATCATAATCAACCAAACTTGCGCGATGCCCAAAATAATTCAACAAATTTATCTAAGTGATAAATTGTACAGGAAGAAGTGGAAGTAGGAAAACATATAAATAACTTTGAACACTACCCGCTTTAACATTCAACCGGCAACCGGAGAGAAGAAAATTGTCACTTGATGGACTGTGAGGTTAAAATCGTCCATTACTGCATCGTATTCCTTCGGTTCGCAAATTATTTAATAAATTGACCACTTTGCAAATTACAAATCTGCAGATGGTTATTCACCTTATTAGGCCATTATTTAATTATTATTTGTGATTTTTTGTTTGTTTTTTAAATTTTAATGATTTTTTAAAAAAATTTATTTTTTCTCTTTTTTTGTATAATTATATTTATTTTATTTATAAAATAATTTATTTATTTATTTATTTTTATGAATTTTATTGATTTTTATGTTTTGTTTTGAATTTTTTATATTTTTTTTTATTTTCTGTATTTTCATATTTATTTTATCAATAAATTAATTTATTTATTTTTGTCGTAAGGTTTTGGTCGATATCGCTAAAATTTTCAGTGTTCAAAATTTTTAATCACTGAACGCTAGCGTCTGGTCGCTGCGATCATTCGCTGAGACTGCGACCAATAATCGAACAAAGTTTAGATGCTGACGCTAGCGACCTCCAAACGAACATGACCGTAAACTAAACGTCTTTTTAACAAAAAAAATTAATCTACATTTATTATTAAAATACTCATTAAGAATTTTTAATGGAGTTCCATGCTTAATCATGCTCTAAGAATCCAAAATAAACATGACCTGAATTGAATTAATTATTATAATTGATATTTCTATTTTTCTTCTAAAAATTATATTAAATAGCCATTAATGATTAAGCTTAACAAACAGAAAATATATGAGCAATTTAGCTACAAACCATAGGAGAATGTCGATATTGGTAGAATACCCAAATGATGTCATCACGGGTCACGGGTGTACGTGGCAACGTATGTGGTGGTAGAAAGACCGATATACCCTACCCACTCAACCTCGAGGCTTCCCGGATTTAGCTAATCTCTAACAGGAGATATATGTTAAATTTGGAGAGATAATAAAAAGATTTAGTTTACAGTGAATCAAGTTGCATTGGTAAAGCAAAAACTCCCCCTCGAGATAAACTCTCTGACGCAAACGGCGGACCTGTAGACGAAATCTAGCAAAAGATTATGCTGAGATTTTATTAGGATTTTGCGAAAATAAAAATTAAAAACCTTTCGCTTTCCCTGAGCGTCTATATATGAGACTTAGACGGTCTCTAGTTTTTCCAGGAAAGTCAGTCGGTTTACTGAGAAGGATAATTCTCCGATTCTGTTAAATCAAAGAGAGCTTGTGTGAAAAAGGTAATGAAGATTCTTAAGTAGCTTTAAATGTAGAGAATGTATTTAGAAGATGGGACACTTACTAGATACCGCTGATGATTGTTGATATTAAACTTGCCGAGCATTTATTTCATCTTTCTCTAGTGAAGATTCCATCAGTTATTGCGGTTTGTTAACCTAATATCTTTTTTTTTCGCAGAGATGGGTCATGTTTTCAGAATATGGCGTGGTGACTGGAAGAAGAACGCTCAAGATCAGTGTATTTTGTACCAAACCATGAAGACTACGGATTCACAATATACATGGATTCTCCCGAAACTTTCCATGTAATCGATTTAACTGTTCGAGAGTACTACATGCTCACACCGGCAACTCCGGTTCTGATAACCTACGGAATGCCTAACTGGATGCTCCTCCCCAGCGGACCTTCCGCTCCAACAACCATTGCTTCAACATCGGACCTTGTCTCCTTGATGAACCAGAGACCACCTCTAACAGACATAACGCTCCTGTGTACTATAGGTGCCAAGAGTGGTGCAGAGTTTCATTTCCCCACTCGGTCTGATTTCACCATTGGATTTTCAACCTATGTGGTTGGAAATGGTCAGGATGATAGTGCCAGAGCAAGATACGAGGGTATGTCAAGTTTACAAGTTGATTATATATATTATTTTGCTAGTAATGGTTTGATAATGATATTTGATATGTTTATTCTAGGTTTGGTGTTGGGTGAGAGACTTCTTCTCAGTGAGAGTGTGCTCGAGGAGATATTTGGTGAGGAATAGATGGTTATAATCCATCGTGTTGCTCTGGAGATGGCTCATGCTGATCGGACAAGGCAAGCTCAGACAGGAACTGGAGTTGTCCAGAGAATGGAGATCGTTCAACTTGATGCTGATGATGAGATGGTTGATACTTTTCAGCCTGGATTAACAGCAGATGTGACACAAGGCCCGCCTGGAGGTAAGAAGTTGCATATCTGGTTAATTGTTTGAGAGAAATCGCCAATATTTTTGTTTGACGGATACTATGTTTCGTAACCGCGAAAATCTAATCATTTTGATGTGATTTTTTGGCTATATAGGGAATATCATCCCATTCCAACCCCACCCTCTTCCTACGATCGAAGCCGCAGATGCGCCACCAGTGATGTGGGATGTTGGGGTTGACCTTTTGGAGTACCCTGAGTACTACAACAGCCAGAGGAATGTCAGCCCGAGCGGAGAAGACACTTTGTTTTGAAATGGGCTAATTGAAGAACATTTACAAACTGTTGGTCGAGATCTAAACAATCCTAACAACAATGAAAACTCTGTTGGGATGACTGAAGGAGCTACCATTGATGTAGCTATAGCCGAAAAGGAAGGTGAATCTTCAGCTTCGTCAACTCCTATTATTTGCTCTCAACTGGGAGCAGCCGTGTGGGCCAATGAGAGGGCACCAAGTGGTATTAATTTTTTAAATGATTTTTTGGTAAATGTATAACTTGAAACTCTATTCAGATAATTTATTAAACTTGTATTTACAGGCACACCACCTGCTGTTGCGGAGGTCAATGGGCTTGAAGACGAAGGCGTGCTAAACCAGCCAACACCAGCCACAGCAGTGGTGATCACGGTGGAGTGCGCAGCAGATGAAAGTGCTGGTCATCCAAGAGCATCGCCTGTGGTCGGGAACACATCTTCTGAGGGGAGCGAGAGCGAGGGTGGGTCGTGATTGCTAAATGCAGAAAATTTCTTTATGTTATATATGGTATTAGGTTAACTATAGGTTTGCTAAAGGAAGGGGATCGTTTGCTTGTTAAACGGTTACGAAAAAGTTTAGCTTGATTGGGATTTTTTTTTTGTGGGTTAAAATTTTTTGTAACCGCGGGGTTGTTCTGGTTTTCCTGGGTAATGTATCGGGTATTTTCTAGTCGGTATGTCGACGGCATAAATGGACTGTCCGGAGGGGTGATAGCTTTTTCTAGCTTATGCATGTGATGTAATGTATCAAACTCTTATGAAATATTGTTGCTATGTTCAATGTATGTGATTTTCTACTTTGATTTGGTTTAAATAGACCATGGCCGGTTAACACGGACAGTATGTGCTAATATTTTAGTTAACCAGTTATGTTAGTTTCATGTATATAGAAATAGTGTTTTTTTTTTTTTGTCAGCAGCCCATGTAAAGCTAGATCAATTGGTGATCAGACGAGTCGATCCTCCTAGGAGCATCTCCGTCTGGCCTGGTCTGATCTATATGGGAAAGAAATAGTGTTTTAAATTGACTTAATGTAATACATTTTCTATAGAGGGCTGGTTCAAGTGGTTCAAAGGATTTCGGAGACAATTGTTTTCCAACTACTTTCGCTAAAATTTATGAACTGTTTTGTAATAACCTTTTAAAATTCTAAAACGAGATGTCTGGTTATGTTTGCAAATATAATTTCTCGGTTAAACATAAAACGAATATGTGCTAACATTTTCCGTAGACGGTTATATTGTTATCTTCGATCTAGAAGTTGGGTGCAGTTATAGTGTAAAGTTGTTTTCTATAGATGAAGTTCACTTATTTTCCATCCATCTGAATCAAAAACCATATAATTATCTTTAAGACATAGAACAAGGAAGAGTGTTTAAACTCCAAATCTCCAAAGTTAATTTCCTATAACAAGATAATAAAATTGTTTTTGTTTATACAGGAGATCTGAAGCAGAACGGTGATGACCTAGAGGTTGGGATGCTATTCAAGAACCGTGAATCTTTCAAGCAGCATGTAGCCATGTATGCAATTGCCAAAAAGTTTTGCTTCAGAAGCCAAAAGTCCGACCCAGGGAAGATGATCTTGCAATGCGTCAGCTTGACTTGCCGATGGCGTGTGTATGCAATCATACTTAAGGATTCTGAGGTTTTCGAGGTGAGAAAACTTGTCAGCGTCCACACATGTTCCATATCAGAACGTGGTAGATACCAGAGCCAAGCAACGTCAGCTGTCATTGGAGAGCTGATGAAAACTAAGTTTGCGGGTAACAGTTTGGGTCCAAGGCCAACGGAGATCCGGCTAATGATGCGTGGTGACCATGACGTTTCCATCTCATACTGGAAGGCTTGGAAGTCCAGGGATATGGCAGTTGATAATGGCCATGGTACGTGCAGAGCTTCTTACCTTAGCCTGCCTGCGTACCTGAATAACCTTGTATTGGTGAATCCTGGTTCTCTAGCTAACTTGCACACAGAGCCAACAGAGATAGGAGGCCACAAATTCAAGTACATGTTCCTTGCCACAAATTAGCCGTTTAAACAATTTGTTAGAGTTATCGGTGGATTTGTAGCCATGATTTAATAATCTGTGTTACAGAATAATAAATTTATTAGCCATCTAATTATAAAAAATGGCACATCCCGTGGGGTTTCGTACACGGTCAAATTTAAACATATTTGAATAATTTGGATTTCCAGTTGCAAATCTAAAAAGCTTGATCGATGACACCTAGAGTTTAAATGTTAACACGACAACAACAAATAGTGCTTTCCTCCCGTCGACAATTAGCATACGCCTGTTTGACCAGTTCGAATAACGTTAGCCAAATTAACAGTCTAAAATCATAGATAACCGAGTAGAAAATCTAAAACATGGCTAACGGACATTGTCATTTCCGAGACTTCTTCGACAAAGCTGCGACGACCTCAACAATCTCTGTTATGTCCTTCTTCATGTCCTCTAGTTGTTCCTTGATTTCAACCAGGTCGTCCTCCATACACGATTGTCTGGTAGACAATGCTTCTAATTCCTCCCAATGGGCTTCGTCGGCCTATTTAAACAAATGATTGTCGCCGAAAACAGCTCCGCATCGGTAAAAACGCCTACCGGGTTATCTTTTGTCTTCGATGTTAGAATGACAGTGAGAGCTCCACAGGGACACCTCCGAGGTATCCAATGACCTAGTTCCATAGCTATCTGTCGACCCTACTGGATATAATGATTTAACACTGAGCAAAGTCAGTAAATCGGTACTAAGATCTAGTAATTATCTAGGCACTAGAGTAAACTAGGGGATACAAGAAAGACGGATCTGCTAAATTACCAGAGGAGGAGATGGAGTCTTAATAAGTTGTGAGGTTGACCTTATCGGCAGAGCAGTTTTTTGGAGAGAAGGCGCCGCTTGGTTGTGGAATCGGAGTGGTATTTAGCAAAGTAATAACCTAAGTTGCGGACATTCCTTTATATATGATATTTAGCCCTTTATGTACAGTGAATCATGTGCCACTGAAGATAGGGGCACGTGAGAGTTAAGAATAATTGAGGTCTAACAACAACATACGCCGGTAGGATTGTTACAAAAGAAAATGCAGATCAGAGGATTAAGTGAGAATAAATGGACGCACATTGAAACATAAATAAAAGAGATAAAATATCAAAGTCTAGAACAAGAGTGCCATGATGTTTCAAGTTTTACGCAGATAACAACTAATGAAGACCATAGTTTATACACTAGATATAGGGGAAATCAAAGGGGACCGAGGGTTGCTTCATATAGAGACACGACAAGTCTCTCCACATGGCAGTCGAGAACGTCGGATGTAATACATTTGCAGGCGTCAATCCCACCAACAGCATGGGTTTGGATGAGGAGGACGGATGAAATGGAAGATTGTGTTAACGAATATTGCTGAGGGATGTTCCAGGGCCTGTCAATTGCAATTGCTTTGAACTCTCTATTGCCAAAGTTTCTTCCCACATATTTCAAGAGGTATGGAAACATAAGCGCGATTGGCCTTACTTTTTTGTTCATCATGTAGTCTGTGCGGATACTATTGTTGCTGTCCAAGACAATAACACTCCAGGTACTGCAATCAACGCATATCCCAACCCAATACTTTTTGTCCAGGTTGAATGGAAAATAGAAACGGCCAGCCTCAGCGTAGGACTTCTGCTGCAAGATCAAGTCAAACACTATCTCATTGAATTTTAAGGTTTCCTTCTTTGAGAGCTTTGGGAACTTTGTATACAGTTTTGTGAACTGAGAGACAAACTTCGTATCCAGAAACAGTGGCATAGGCTGGTGATTCGGAGATGTTAAAGACTGGAACAATGAACCAGTGTGAAACATAAGGACATCCATAACCTGTTGGTAGATGAAAGATGTATAAAAACGTATATTAGAAACTATCTTGCAAGGAAGTGGAGTCTAATGTATTAACAGAAAGTAAGATGGTATGGGACTGATCCAAAACCAACCTCAGTCGACAATTGAGTTGATCTTTCTACCACTTTGTAAAGCTCCGTGCTATCAATATTCCCCCGTTCCGTTGAAATCGAACTATATGTGTTAGCCAGATTTAACAAGTTAGACGGCTAAAATGATGTCAGAAAAGGCTAATTTATTAAATATCTCTCTAACTATAATAGCTGAAATAACGATTACTTTAACTACCAACGGTTCAGTTAAAAATCAAACCAAGAATTTTTAGTAATGGGACATATTAGACAGGCGACAGAATTCCAAATTGCAAATGTAATTGTTATCTATCTAACTATAATAAGATGGACTTACAAAGCCGTCTTCATTTTGTCCATTAGTGCTGAGAATTTTGCCGCATAATCAATGTTTCCTCCTTTATATATAGCATCGGCCACCGCCTCTCTGGCCCGGTTTTGGAAGGCCTTATCGCATTCATACTCATCCATCAGCAACTTATTAGGCACCTTCTGTCTCTTGCTTTTCCTACACCCAGGTGGTCCTTCTTCCTCATCAGCAAGAGCGGTTACATCTTCAGGATCGTCTGTCGCTTTGTCGTTCTTGCCGCAGTCTACACGTGTCTCCTGAGTCATCCCAAGCGAGAAGGATGGGTTGGGGAAAAGAAATGCAGGATCATGGTTCTGCAATTAATTTTTACCAGCTATCATCAGGTACCAAAACACTAGTGGAAGTAGAATAAATTAACATGGGACAATTAGAGCAAAACAAGGACCTGATCTGCCACAGGCTGTTGAGGTGGTGAAGTAGGAGGGGGATCTCCTGAATGAGCATCCTTCACAATCACCTCACCCACATCTGGAGATCCCTCTGATCCATTGTCGCCGTCTTGTGATTATCTCAAGTGAGCTATGTATAAAAATATCAAAAGCGTCAACATTGTTTGTAGACGGCTATTATTAAACTTACCCCGGCAGAGGGATTGGTTGCACGGTTTGCAAAGTTTATTGCATCTGAGATGATATTTGTTGCAGCTTGGTTTGTTTGTGTACTGGCATCAGCGACTGTAGGACGAGGGATTTCTCTCTGCGGAGGAGGCTCGGTTCTGATGGCGGTGAAATTTTGGATTTCAGCGGTTAGAGTAGTGATTTTAGCAACACAATCATGTATCACTCCACAAACCTCACTAAAATTAGTAAGGATTGTGTCGGTATAGCCATTGAGTGACTCCTGCATAGATGCAATGTTGCCGTGCACAAGTTGAAAATCATCCCTGAGTTTTACTCTGACTAAACTGGCCAACGAATCAACATCTACAGCATCTTGTCCCTGAGAGTTGCTGGCCGGTTTGGTTTTCACAGATTTGCGGTTGCCCAAATCAGCTTTGGCCTCTTCGCGCATCCTAAGAACATCATCTTTTGTTGACCCACCAACGAAGTGTTCTGAGGTGAATGGGAAATGGTCCTCGATTAGCTTCAGCATATCAGAAACATTTTGATCTTCCTCGTCATCTGACCATTGGTAATTTGCATCGTCCCTAGTCTGACCATTTTCATCTAACATGATCGAGTGTACCAAAGCCTAGCAGACAAAAAAAACAGTCCAACATTTTAGTAATTTAGCAGATCTCAAATGTAGTAACACGCTTCTTTGTGAAATGGTGAAGAATGAATACCTTCCCTGCAGCATCAATGTCTCGGGCGTGGCCAGGACTGATAGTTTTCTTCCTCCCTTTCTTGTTCTCAGAGGTGTCGTCACCAGCCTCAGAATCCGAGGAACTTCCATCCTGTACTACTCCGGTCAGTGCTGGTACACATTCAACGATGACAAGTTGCAGAGCAAGTACGAATCCTTTCAGAGCTATTGTGTTTTGAGACAGTGATACTTCCTTTCTCTCTTTTATGCTTCTCATTAACATGTCGAATGAGACCCTACCCCAAGGATACGCAAAAAAAGCATCCAAGTATTTAATCATCTCAGCGCATTCTTGAGAGATGCAAGGTGTGTGTGTCGTTGGAAGTAAAACGGCGGCCAACAAGGCCAGATATGCGTACTTTAGCCTAACTTCCCTGTCAATAACAGTTTTTCTTCGAAGCATCCTAACGACGGATGAGACTGGAATGTTGGTTAGGGATCCAAAAAGTTCAATCCAGTAGGGTTTCTCTTTAATGATTTTCTTGGACGACCTTTTTTTTCTGAGGAAATCTCTTGCAGTTCAATCCCGTCACCAACTCGAACTCCCTAATTGGTTTTCCGGCGAACAGAAACCAGGCTTCATGCTTCCTCGAGACCTTTAGTTGTCTTGATAAGATGTATCTCCCAAACCTACCCGAGAAACTAGGTTTTTCAGCGATCTCAATCATTTTGCCAAAAGGAGATTTTCTAATTTCTTGAATTTCGTCGGGGTCAAGAGCATTGAGAATTTGTTTGATTCCGGATGCCTTGTGGTATGGAGTAACTCTGACTCCGGCTGATTCTTCTCTGGCGTAGAAAAGTCTCTCCGGTAGAACACAAGGTGGCCCTTGCATGCCGTCGCTCTGCTCCATTTGTCCAATGATTTGGAATTCTGTGAAATATCTAAATGGAGAAGAAAATAAAGTTAACAGAGATTATCGAGAAGACATAGAGACTGGAATAGGAAGTGAAAGTTTCAAATTTTGAATCTTACTTTACGCTGGTAAGTAACCCTCTGACAAAGCAGATATGACAAAGATCGCCTTTCTGAGTAAAAAGATTACGAATCTACAAAATAGGATTTGTCTACCCAGCGGTCTCGGACAGGTAAGAGATTTGTGTGTTTAAGGGCATTATCGTCAAAAGACGCGATGAACAGTCGGGAGTCGTCATGGTTTTGGTAGATTGCAAATTATACCATAAGTTTTTGGCATAGCTTATAATTTCTCAAAATATATTACAAATTACTATAATTTAATTATTTTATAAACATTTGTCTCCATACATAAACACTGAAATAATATATAATTTCAAAATTTAAAATGTTTTACTTATAAAGTTAAGTAATAATTTAATTTTTAAGAAAATGGAAACGCTTTTTATATTAATTTAAAGAACCGTTATATAAAAAATATAACTTGAAAAAATAGAGGGATCAGATTAAATGAAAATTGGAGCGCCCAATTGTCGTAATAAGGTTTGAGCGGAACGCTCTTCACGCATTATAATATGCGAGAGATAAACCCAATCATCACTTCCCCTTTAAACCTGAAGGATCATATCTGTAACGTCCAGTACTTCTTTTCTTTTTATAAGCTCACTCGTTATCAAACGTTTTTCCACACAATCGATGTGGGACAAATATTGAAACATTGTTTTAATTCTCTGTCGGTGGCATTGTTTCTAAGCCAAAAAGTCTCTGATTGGGTCGGAAGGTCTACAATATTAACTTCCGTCAGAGGCTACAAACAACAGTTCAATTGTTTAAAGACTGCAGAGCAGATAGAAGCCCAACCCAAATTTAAGAAATTGATTCATAAGCGAGAAAATATGACAATGCTGCACCTTCTAGACCTACTTGGAATCTTTTTGATTTTCTTAATGATGTCATCACCGAAACTCTCTCTTAAAATCAGTTTCCTCAGGGCAGCACAGTTCCTTAGAATAACTTACTGACTGACAAAGCCCGATCTCAGTTTTGTTGATGATGCCTTTCATTGAAGAATTAAATTCAATATCAGATGCCAACTAGGCCTTAATGCAATCTACCTTCTCACCAGAATTGAGTTCACTTTGGTCT